GGGTTGCTCGTCCCACTGCACGTTCTGCTGCATTGTGGTAGGGTCTCCTGGGGGCTGAGGCACATGGGATCAACCATCTGGCTCTGTGGCCTCCCTCCCTCCAGGGGCTGCCCCTTTGTTAGTGAAGGGTCTCCCGGGACAGACCTGGGAGTACGGGAAGAAACAGGACCAGGATTCACACCTTGGAGTTGGGAGAGGATGGGCACAGAGCCGCTGCAGGACATGCTGGGCTCCAGCAGCAGAGGAGGTCCTGCCATCCATCCCCTGTCCTGGCCCGGCGTCCCCCACTGTCCCCACAGAGTGGGGGGCCAAGCGAGGTGTCCTGAGCTGGAGCCCTCATGGAGACTGCAGGCTCCAGGGGTCCTGTGCTGGTGGGAGGCTGCCCAGGGGCTTGGGGACTTAGCCCAGCCCACATCCCCACCCTGAAAGGACTGTCTGGTGGCTTGGGCAGGCTGGGGGCGCCCGGGTGGTGGAGTTTTTTTGGAGCAGCCAGGTGGGTGCAGGCAGCATCCATGGGTGGGGGAATGGCTCGGCTGGCTCCTGCTGACCCCTCCTCACTGTGTGCCCTCTCAGGTGGCGCTGCTGGATGCTGCTGCCTGCCCTGCGGAGGAAGGTGGGTAGCAGGCAGAAGTTAGGTGTGTAGGAGGGGGGAAAACCTTACTCACGCGATGAGTGTCTTGGCCCTCTGCCCACTATGCCCATAGCCCTCGTCACCCCACTTCTAAGCTGGAATGCACCCCAGGCTGTGTGCTGCCCCTGTGGAGTGGGGAACAGGGGGGGCTCTGTGGGGAGAGCCCCAGGCAGGAGGGTGCTGAGACACAGAAGCTCAGCTCACTGGCCAGGGCTGGGGCAGGTTTGCCTGCAGGGTTTCCGGAGGCCCTATGTCCCAGGGAGGAGGAAGAGGAGGAGGAAGAATACAGGCAAAGGAGACCTGTCACCTTCATGCTGGGAAATGAGATACTGGGGCTGGGCCCAGAGAGTGAGTTTCAGAGCCCTGATGCCGAGGTCTACATGCACTTCTTGAGGAGCCACTGCTGCTACGACGCCATCCCCACCAGCTGCAAACTTGTTGTCTTCGACGTCTCCCTGGAGGTGACAAAGTGGGGGATCAGTGGGGAAAGGCAGTGGAGGAGCAGGCTCAGGGACGCCCTGACTCCCTCCCCTCTCTGCCAGCAGATCAAGAAAGCCTTTGTGGCACTGGTGGCCAATGGGGTGCGTGCCGCCCCACTCTGGGACAGCAAGACACAGAGTTTTGTGGGTGAGTGCCAGTAGTACCACCTGGCCCCCTCCCCTGCCTGGCAGTGAGGGTGCAGGCAGTGCTGCCAGCCCCACGTGTCTCTGCAGGGATGCTCACCATTACCGACTTCATCAACATCCTCCACCGCTACTACCGCTCGCCTCTGGTGAGTGTGGTGAGGAGGGCAGGGGGGATCAGGGCATCATGGGGCAGGGAGGAGCTGCCCCACCTCTCCTGGTCCCCTCTTCATCACCAGACCATGACCAGGGGATGCTCTGGGCCAGCCCAGCATCTACTTGTTGCCCCTCTGCCTGGCACGCAAAATGTAATCCTTGCACTTGGGGTGATGGGGTGGGATGTTTGGGGAAGGGGTCAATGTCCCAGAGTTCCCCCAGTTCCTCATGGGGACACCATGATCAGGGCATTTCCCTGCCCTCAGGTTCAGATCTACGAGGTGGAGGAGCACAAGATTGAGACCTGGAGAGGTAAAAATCATGGGATGACGGGGGTGGCTGGGCTGGAGATGTTGTATAGGGCATGGAGGCAGGCTCTGGGGGTGCAGGGCTGTATAAGAGGGCTGGGAGATCCCCCCTCCCCTCCCACCTGTCTCCCTTGGCAGAAGTGTACCTGCAGGGCTCCTTCAAGCCGCTGGTCTACATCTCCCCAAGCAACAGGTGAGAGCCTGTCCACTGTGGGAGAGCACACCCCTTGGGTGTGCGTGTGTGTGTATGCCTGGGATGCAGCCCTATTCCCCCCCATGCTGTCCCCATCACCCGCAGCCTCTTCGATGCTGTCTACTGCTTGATCAAGCACAAAATCCACCGCCTGCCTGTCATCGAGCCCATCTCAGGCAATGTCCTGCACATCCTGACGCACAAGCGCATCCTCAAGTTTCTCCACATCTTTGTGAGTGCCAGGGATGTGTGCACACACATCATGGTTTGTAGGAGCACAAACAAGGGTGTCAAGGTATGTGTAGGTGCAAGCCCAGCCCTGCCCTGCCCTGTTGCAGGGTTCTACCATTCCCAAGCCACGCTTCCTGAAGAAAACAGTGCAGGAGCTGTGCATTGGCACCTTCCGTGATGTGGCTGTCGTGCCTGAGACTGCCCCTGTCTACACTGCCTTGGACATCTTTGTTGATCGCCGTGTTTCTGCCCTGCCTGTCATCAATGATGCTGGTACCTGGAGAAGGGAAGAGTGACCCCCTCATTTCCCTCTGCCATCGACTCCATCCCCACCCAAAAATCCTCTCCTGGCCCTTACGCTGCCCCTTGAGGGGAGGGGAGAGCATGGCAGATGGCCCCCAGGGCCCCCTCCCCAGTCCCTGCACGGTTTCTCTTTGCAGGGCAAGTGGTTGGCCTGTACTCCCGATTTGATGTCATTGTGAGTACCATATGTGTTTGCACACCTGGGCACGAGCATGGCCCCTTGCATGCACTGGTGGGGTGCTCACACCTGTCTGTGCCCATGCAAACTCACCCCATGTGCAGTGTCATGCATGTGCCAGCACACATCTGCTTTGTGCATCCCCAGGGCTCAGTATCCCCCTCTGTGTCAGCAAAATGGGGTGTGAGGACACACTGGGGTGCTGAATAGGGTCACATCTCCCACAGCACCTGGCAGCCCAGAAGACTTACAACAACCTGGACATCAGTGTGCGGGAGGCGCTCCGGCAGCGCAGTATCTGCCTGGAAGGAGTCCTCACCTGCTACCCCCACGAAACTATGGAAGACATCATTGACCGCATTGCCAATGCACAGGTGAGTGCCTGAGGTGTCTTGTGCCAGCG